TCTCTCTCTCTCTCTCTCTCTCTCTCTCTCTCTCTCTCTCTCTCTAAATTCTTTTTCCTTCATTTTTGTGCTGTATCTTGATTATTCCTCGTAGAAATAAAGCAAATATAAAGTTTTTTTTTTCTTTTTTGGTTTTGGGTTATTGTCAGTAATTCAAAAATATAAGCTAAAGTTGATGGATGAGTATGCCCATGAGGTTATACGTTTCATATGTGGGTCATTATCAAATTTAGATGAGAAACAATTTGTGCAAAGTGGAGCAGTGGAAGCAACATATCGGGCTATCGAGAATGACATCCCTGAGATTGCAATTGAATTATTAAAAAGACCTAATGGTAATATATTATGGAGCAATACAGATCCCGAAGATTCAAGAAACATGTTTGCACATGCTGTAGCACATCGTCAAGAGAAAGTCGCGCGCTTTCTTTATGATGAATTTGGTAAAAGGAAGAATAGAAATATGGTTACTGCCACCGATGAAGATGGGAACAATATATTACATGTAGCTGCACAATTACCCCCTCATTCTCAACTAGATCGCATCGCCGGCGCCGTTTTGCAATTGCAAAGTGAGCTACACTGGTTCAAGGTAATCTCATTTATACTTTGTTTGTTATTTCAAAGTAATTAATAGTGTCTCAATTATATATTATCTATAATTTATGAAAAAAAATGCAGTCGGTGGAAGGCATTGTTCCACGGTTCTACAACGTGAAAAATAAAGATGGTGAAACTCCTACCCAAGTATTTGTCAAAGAACACAAGAATTTGTTAAAAGAAGCCGAAGAATGGATGAAAAAAGTGGCAGAATCTTGTACAGTCGTAGGTGCTCTTGTTATTACCATCATGTTTGCTGCGGCTTTTACTGTTCCTGGTGGAAACAATCAAGATACAGGCTTCCCCATTTTTTTGAACAAAACGATGACCCATCCTTCTTCTGACGTCTCGTTTGCAGCAGTGTTCAAAGTATTTGCAGTTTCAGATGCAATTTCTCTTTTCTCTGCTTCCAGTTCAGTGCTAATGTTTCTGGGGATTCTCACTTCTCGTTATGCTTGTCAAGATTTCTATATGTCCTTACCCAAGAAGTTGATTATTGGCCTTTCTTCGCTCTTCATCTCTATTGCAGCAATGATGGTAGCATATTGCGCTACTCTTTTCATTGTGCTACATGGTAAAAAGGAGTTACGCATCTTAGTCTCACTGACATTGATTACCAGTATTCCTGTCACTTTGTTTTTATTGCTGCAATCTCCTCTTCTTATTGAGATTTATGGCTCAACTTTTCGCCCAGACATCTTTAATAGGAGAAGATACTGGATATACGGAAAGAATATATGCTCACGTTTCAATAGGAGATGGTGGCTCAGAATGAGGAGAGGATGGATGGTTGTGATGTTGTGTGCTCTTGTTTTACTTTATTTTATTTCATTTATTGTATTTGTTATAAAATCAGACGGTGATCAGTGACCTAACTGATCAGATGATTGTATTATAAAGATAAAAATTTGTAATAGATTTAAATACCTCTCTTACTCGATTAACAGAGGATGAATCCTTATTATTTTTTAATAGTAAAGAGTCCAACAGATCAAGTTTGAAATATATATAGGTTAAAACCTCATTTTGTCTCTTTACTTTAATGAAAATCATTTTTTTAGTTCCTCTACTTAAAAAAGCTTCTCACAGTCCCTTAAAATCTGGCCCTTTTTTAGTCCATCCATTACTTTTTGCACATGTGACACGTTATCTAACATAAATTCTAAAGTAAAGGGATTAAAAACCCTTTTTTGGTCCCTCTACTTAAAAAAACTCTTTTTTAGTCTTTTTACTTTGAAATTTTCATTATCTAACATGACATTTATGCAAAAAAATAACAGAAGGACTAAAAAGGGCCCAAATTTTAAACTTTAGAGACCAATAGGGCTTTTTTAAGTCAAGGCACTAAAAAAGGACTTTTTGTTAACGTAAAGGGAAAAAAATGAGGTTTTAACCATATATATTATGTGTGTTCCTAAAACATTTTGTGATCGAGTGTACCTTCATATAGTTGCAGAGATTGTGACCATTAATTACTCTGATGGAGAGTGGTATATATAAGCTATATACTGTGAACATACTTTTTTGATCTGGTTATGAATTGTGGAGGACCAACCAACCAAGTAGAGGCTGGTGGTAGTTTTGTGAGGTAGACAAACAAGTAGGGTTACTGTCACACTTAAAATTATGGAGTGAGGTAGACAAACAAGTAGGGTTATTGTCACGCTTAAAATTATGGAGTGACTCTTTTGTGCGTGATTCTAGTAACAATATTTTTCTCTTTCTAACACTATTCTCATTATTTTATGTTTACCTCAATAGACCCATCTCAATTCAATAGCGCAGCCTCTTTTCCTTTTCCTACTTTCTTTTAGTTTTCTTTCTTTTCTTTATCATTTTTGTCTTAAAGACGAAATTGAAAAGGAGAGAGAACCAATAATGTAAAGGCTAAATGGAATCCTAGTTCATTTCGTTTTCCATTTTTGCCCCTTTCTTTTTTAATCTTTGGCTCACTAGGAAGAATCCTCTTCAAATTTTAATTGTTTTGGTGTTTGATTTTTGCTTTGTTTTTCATATTTAGAAGCGGAAAGTTTTGAACCAAACCATGGCATATGGCTAAAGAGCAAGGAAATTTAGTGAATGCAAGTATAGGAGGTAGCATAGCAAGTAAGAGGCAGGGATTCATCCATGAGAAAGAGATGCCAAATCAGAAAAGAAAAAGAGGGGGAAAGATGCATGGGAAAGTTTGAAGTTGGAACGGTGGAAAATTTTCCAGCCTTTAGCAAGTTTTTAATTTACTATGTTTTTCAGTGCAGAAAATTGCCACCTAGCTAAGGTTAGGTCAAACTCTCTTCTTAGTGTTTTCCCTTCCTTTTTCTAAGACCTTCCTCTCTTTTCTCTTCATCATCACAACAACCTGTCCTTCCTTCTCTCTTTCAAGATCTGTCCATTAGCGACTTGCCATCCCCCCACACTTCCTTTTCAGTTGCAACAACCAATCTCTCTTTCCCTTTGTAACACATAGATGTTGGGCAAGAGTGATGGTGGAAATCCTTGGCAACAAGCCCAACCACATGAAGCAAATGACCTTGGATCCATTTTGAGCAAAATCCAATTGGTAGAAGATAAAAACTCCATCCTTTCCTTGGAATCTAACCAGAATGGACTGTTGTCTCTTCTAAATCTATGTGCCTTATAGGTAAAATTCATACTCAAAAGAGGGTCAATTTGACAAGACTTCAAAATGCGATTAGTGTGCCTTAAGTTGGCTCAATGCACTCTAAGAAGGGGGTGAATTGGAGTTGGAAAATTTTCACCTCTTTGCAACCACCAAACAAATATTAAAGAGAAAGTAGAGAAGAAGAGCTTGCACAATGATATTTTAGAGGTTCGGTCCAACCACTTTGAGCCTAGTCCTCTACCTTAACTTTACACACCAAAAATTTCCTCCACACTCTCCACTAAGAAAACCAATGGTGGCTCAAAGGAGCCATGCAATCCTTTTACAAGAAAAAGGGTGTTTCTCTTATATCTCACCCCTTTACAAGATAAACCCCAAGAATCCTTTCTACAACTCACTTTGGAAGGAATAATCACACCCCCAAGATAACTCACAAATGGAACAAGGAGAAAATTACAAGCAAAGATCAAAAACTCAAGTTAAAGCACAAGTTGGTGAGTAAATATATTCAATACAGTGCTCTAAAACTTGTTCCAGATTTGTTACCAATCATATTTATAGCCCATTAGTCGAAAATAGCTGTTGGGGTCATTAAATGCTTTGTAGGTCGTATAGTTTCGAGTTGCAGATTTGTTAGCAAAGTCGACTCTGAATTTGGAGCCAGCTTAGATTCCTAGAGCCGGCTTTGCGTGTTTCATACACATTTTGTTTTCTTGAAAAGCTAGCTGCAAAAACATAAAGCGGGCTTTGGAAATCCAACTTTAAAAAGATTAAAGAATCTTTAAATAACTTGACCGTTGTGCATTAAATGCGCCTTCAT